AGGAGCCCTAGTGGCATAGTGATTAAGCACGTGGCTGCTAACCAGAAGGCTGGCTCTTCACATTTCACTTGTCGCTTTGCAGGAGAAAAACATGACAGTTTACTTCCATAAAAATTATAGCCTTAGAAACCCTGAGGGGCAATTCTACTCTGTTCTATAGTGTCACTGTGAGTCAGGGTCCACAGCATAGATTATTTATTGTGTGACTTAATCCTTACAAGCTTTTATAAGAAATGAGCCTTAGAAATTGAATAATTGGAAACTATACTTTTCCCCACCCCAACCCTCACCCCTGTAGGGAGGGGGGAATCCAAATCTAAGCCTTGTTCTGCAAACAATAGATCCTGTCTGGATTCAAATAAGACTTCTTGACAAATCTGAGTTGTTCTAAAATGCTTCAGGTAGCATATAAAGGGTGTTACAATGCTTGTTTGTTAAGTTGTTTGGTAGTTTTGCATGTAAAGATGAACTCCATTCTGAAGCTCAAATTAGACATGGCTACCTAACCCAATATGGATTGAAGCTCAATATCAAGAAAACAAAGATTCTTACCACTGGGCCAATTTGCAGCATCATGATGGATGGTAAAGAGATTGGGATTTGTGAACAGCTTTAGTTTGCTTGCCTCCACAATCAACACTCTTGGCATCAGCACCTAGAAAGTTAAAAGACGTATTGCGTTGGGAAAGTCTGCTGTCAGAGACCTCTCCAGAGTACTGAAGAGCAATCATATCAGCCTGTAGACTAAGGTGCACCTGTTCCAGACCATGGTCTTTGCAGTCACTTGCTATGTATCAGAGAGCTGGACAATGGCTAGGGAGGATAGAAGGAGAATTGATCCCTTTGAACTGTGGTACTAGAGAAGAGTATTGAGTGTGCCATGGACTGCAGAGAGAATAAACAGGTTTAACCAAGGAGAGGGTTAAACCAGGTTGCTCCTTGGAGGCAAGAATTCTGAAGCTTCATCTGACATACTTTGGACATGTTGCAAGGAGGGACTGGTCCTTGGAGAGGGACATCATGCTTGGGAGGGTGGAGGGGACAGCACAGGAGAGGAAGATCCTCGATGGGATGGATTGATTCAGTGACTGTGGTAATGGGAGTAGGTGTATCAGAGGCAAGATTGACACAGTATAGGACTGTTCTATATAGGATCACTATGAGTTGCAGGTGACTCAGTGGCACATAACAACAAACAACCTAACCAAAAACCCAACAAAAATGCTGTTTTTCCTTATAAACTGAAACTCATTGTCATCATATTGGAACCACTCATAGCTGACCATCTCCATTGGACTTCTGAGACTGTAAATCATTTAGGAGATTTACATAGGGATGGTTCAACTTTCCCCCTCAGAGCCACTGGTGAACTTGAACCACCAGAGAGACACTGCTTTTTAGGTTAGTAGCACAATCCTCTATAGACGAGGGCACCAGAGTTTTTCCTATGGCAACTGCAAAAGCCTTGGTAGATAACTGGTGGATGATGGTAGTTCTTGGTTGTTTTGAGTACCTTAAATTGTTCAGGGGTAAAGCAGAGGGGTGACAGGCAAGTGTTACTTAGGGTTTACTCTGAAACCCACACCTGTTTTCTAAACGTCATGTTAGACCACTGTCAGGTTGAGTGAGCTTCAGTTCATTTCCTTTCTTGTCCTAAATGTTCCATATTTAGACCCCAGCTCCAGGAGTTGCAAACAAATAATCTTTATTTCTAAAGAGTGAAGTAGTGTTTCATTTCTTTTATTTGTTAGGCACACCTTCTTCCACACGGCTTTTGTCTCTGGCTATGGAAAGCCGTTGCTAACCTCCAAAGATTTGTATATGTGAAAGTTTCATCCCTACTATATCCTCTATCCTATTTACTATTGTGTCCTGTTCCTTTGTTCTCTGTCAAGAAGATGGAACTACTGCTTATAAATCCAGATTTTTCACAGTGGAATTAAGTTGTGGGAGGACAGCGGTAGGAATATTTTGTATTTTATTCTCAAGATTGAAGTTGATCGTGCTGTTATGTTTTATGTACTGTGGGGGGCGTTCCCCTTTCTTAGAACATCATGTGATTCAGTGATGATAATTAGGCAGAAACTTGCCTTGCCTGCAGATGCCAGGGTTATAGAGGGACTTGCTCTCACTAGAGACCAGATGACAGCATCTATAGATATTTTGGGACTTGGATTCTTCATTTGGTCTCTCCACTTCATTTTGTTGTTATCGATGGCCTGGTTTCAAGCTTAATTTCTTTTGGGTAGGAGCAGAGGTATCTTCTCTCTATTAATGAAATCCACTGATGGGACAGCACAATGTTTCATGGCTATTGTAATTGGTGTATTGCCTTGTAACTTGAGAAAGTGATAGCCATAATTCCCTTCAGCTATATGCTTCCTTTTCCTTCCAAAAGTTTCACTTAATCTCTTGTATTTTTCTAAAGTAGAAGGGCATGAGTGCATTATATATAAACCTTCCATGACATAAAATGCCATCATTTAAGCAGTGTAAAATAGTATCCCAACCCTGAGTACCATTTAATTCCCAGGACAGTAACTGGTTTCATCACTTAATATGCTCCCTCTACCATTTGAGTCAGATAAATATATGCAAACATTAAGCCACAAAGGAGTGATTAAAAATTACTTTTATTACTCTAGTCTTCATAGTGGGTTATGATTCTGGCATTCCTCTCGGAACGATAATTCTCTTCAGCATTATTCTGGTTCCTTTATCTTTTCACAATATTTTACAAGGTGTGTGTATGTCTTTCGTATCAATTGAAAGCTTCTTTACTAAATGTCTCCTCTGTGAGCTGCCTCACAGCTTCAGCTGGGCTTCTGCTTGCTGAAGCTGTAGGCACAGAGGCAGTTTCCTCTCTGGGCTCCCTGAGCGGGCACTGCTGTCAGGCCTCAGGGAGGCTCTAGGACTCAGCGTCACAGTGGCCCCAGCCCCTTACTGCCGTCAGGGAAAGAGTGTTGATTAGCGCATCTCTTTTTAATGATGAGGTTCCCTAAAGATTCTGAGACTTTTGATGAGGGAATGGATGTGTGGCCTGGGGATTGTTACTGCTCTTAAACTGTTCAAGCTGAGTCTCTTGCTCCTGGTTTTGGATCTTGTTCTGTGTAGAATAATACCATGGTGGGGGTCCTAGGTCCCTCTACCTCCTTGCTGCCTGTCTGGCCTAGCATTAACAGGCCTGTGCCCTCCTCTGTACTTGGGGAATGAAGTGTGACACCTTCCCATTATGTATTGGTTTCCATGGCTGAATAATTAACACCAGAGGGAACCGGGGGAAGGGATCTGAATTAGGTAATACTTTTTAGCCTCTCCCTTGGCACTTACAGTAAGTCAGGATCGGGACTTGGGGACCACAGTCCCCTGATGACTAATTGTATAGTGATGTTAGATTGTGGTTTTATTAACTGTTAATTGTGAAGGAAAAAAACTGAATCCTCTCCAAAGACACCTGCTTAGACCCTTGTCTATTTATGCTTCAAGGTCACCAACTAGAGAAGCTAGATTTTAGCAAGTCCTCAAAGACACTGAAACCTGGTATTTCTTTTAACTTCACCCTCTGAAACCCAAAAAGCTGTTGTTTTATATGCCAGGATAACATTGCCCAGTGCCTTTATAAAGCAGAGAGTGCTTTTTAAAAATCTTCAGGAAAGCACACTAGGTATTGGGAGAGAAGGGAATGCCTTCATTTCCTGCTTTATTATCCTGCTGCTCATCATTGTTCTATTTGGAGTTAGAGCTAGGCTGTGCACGGCCATGGACAGAAATACTGAGCCCTTCGTGCTTTCTGAATATCAATAATTGGAAGGCAAGATTGCCATTGAACACAGAGACTGATGTTGCAAGTATACTTGTGAAAATTCCAAAGTAGCATGATGGTATCTCCTCTAAAGGATTAGAGAAGCAAATGTGTGTGACATGTGTTGCAAGCTTGTTGATGTTTGTCATTTTTGTTCACCTTGTCCAGTGAGGAGACAGTTCATGTTGCTTTGCTACTACTTTTCTATCCATTTCTCAGCCTAGAGCCGTGTGGGTTTTCTTAACTACCATGACAGCTGACATTGTATTTTCCATGAACAAAAGGTCTTGTGTTCTGAGGCCTATCATGAGAGTTCCTTTAGCTTCATCTCTATGATAATATACTTTTTAAAAAATCCTTTGACTTTTCTGGATTTGGTAGCCATCTGAAGACCAGTTAGACTCATATATATTCATATGCTCTAAGAGTACCATTTTTCTGCCTCTTTTGTGTTATAGAATAATAATAATAGTGACTGTGCTGCTAATTGTTAATGCCGTGTATGTGAGTGTGTCACAGAGAGAGAGAGATCATTTTCCCCCTGCAAGTTTTTAATGTTAAATAATTCCCAAGACTGCCTACCTAAAGGTTACTCTTCCTATAATAGGGGGAGTCACATTTGCCCACGCCTCGTACTACCAGTTTATTGAGCCTTTGTTAAAAGTCGTTGTGTTCCATCTACCCGGCACTGTAGCATTGATGGAAAAGAACTCAGAACCAGTTAATTCACACAGACAGTAGAGGAGAACCAGAGAAGTAAACCTTGTCTACCTGCAATGACCAACTTTCTGATAGCCACGCTGCAAAACCTCATGTCCCAGGAACTTCCTGTTCTAGAAGTCCAGAACAAAAATCTCAGTTGTACCCTGGGTGGTGTTAACCTAACAGCATCAACTGATAACACTCAGTTGTCTTACCATCCTTTGCAACCCTCCCAAAAGAAATAGCCTCATTTAACGGTGGGGTTTCCAGCTTCCAAGTATTTTGCAGTCAAGCAGAGAGATAAGGTAAGTCATCTCCATGGTTTGTCCTTAGATTTTTCTTTTGAAACATGTAGCAAAATAGCTCTTCTGTGAGTACCCTTGGCTCAGGGGGGATAGGGAGGTAAGAGCTGGGTGATTGTGATCCTGAGGTGCTCACTGCTGCTCATGGAATGTCTTCAATAATCAGTCTTTGCTTTTCTTTTCTCCCTCTTTAGACCCTCAAACTGACACAAGACCTATACAGAGAAAACCCTTTGCCAAATCTGCTCTCAGCAAGTGGACAGTGATACCGTTTACAGCTTAACACCTTTGTGAATTCTGCACCATTTTCCTAACCCAGCAGAGACTGTTAATGGCCCCTTACCCCGGGTGAAGCATTTACCCTTGGAACAGAACTCTATAAAGTATGCAAAATCTTCCTTGCACAGGGTGATGAGACACCTGCCAGCGGAGGACAGCACCCAGTCAGCACCACCCACCTTTAGAGCACACCGTGAAACCCCCGTTGGCGATTCTGTGGTGTTTTTCATACTGCAATGATTTATGGGATGTTTTCACTGTTACTTGTGTCTTTATTTTCCTTTTAACTTTCTGAGATTTTTTGTTTGTTTGTTTCACATGCATTAACTTCAGTATTTTCCTGTTTAAATGCCACCCGTCCTTCCCCTGGCAAATTTAAAACAGAAGGAAAAAAAGTTGTACCCGTTACCATTCCAGCTTTGGGCATCACAAACTTTTGAGCCCATGGAACTCTGTCAGCTAACCTATTACATAAACTGGAGGGGAATTTTCTCTCTTCTTTTGTTTAGTAGAAAATTATCCTTTTCTAAAAAAACCTGAACAATGGCACAATTGTTTGCTATGCGCACCAGTCCAGAACAGAACGCTGCATAGGCAAAATGAATGAAGGGCAGCGTCCAAACGCAGGGTTCTTTTCAGTTCTGAGTAAGGGTGGTCTGTGGACAAGACTCCCAGCACCTGGTCTGCAGTTGTCAGAATGGTAGGGCCGTGGTCTCCTGGCAGTTTCCTCAGCTAATGCAGTGAACAGTGTTGGTGTGCTGGTTAGAAACTAGGTCTTTTCATAAGTCAGCTTAGCTGTCCACTCATTGCCAAATGCCACGAAAGGACTTAGTTTGTAAGGAGGAAAAGGAGAGGAAAAAAAGAATAGTTCTGTTTTGCTTTACAGAAATGAAATAGCAGGTGAGCATGAAGTCTGCAGTGAGAAATATGTCAAGAGTTCAACCCTGAGTCAAAGCTGAGGTAGTCCTAACTTCCTTGTTTCCAGAAATACACAACTTTGATGATTTTCAGCCTTGCTGTGTATAACCTGATCTACTAGACGTGTATGAGTGAGAGGCAATAGCATACAAGCTGATTTTTATATATACATATAAAAGCTTAGATTATTATAATTGTACAAATGATACAGTGGAAGTACAAGATAGGGCAGTTTTAACTTTTTTTTTTTTAACTTTCTGGCTTCTATGAATTTCATTTTGTTTTGTTTTCAAAAAGTATGGTGCTGTATAGGTGCTTTCTGTTTAACCCGGAAAGTGTGATTATATTTGTTACCCTCCTTGGTAGAGAGAGTAGTTGGGAACACCTTTGGTACATAAGAAACTGGTTTAATGATGCTCTGATTAGCACAGCATATGCATACTTCGCCACAGTGATAAATGAAGACTCCATTCTTTGCATATAAAAAGCGTTAGACATATAAATGTATAAATATATTTTATCATGTACAGTACAAAAATGGAACATTATGCATGGATGTTAGGAATACAGGCTAGTATTTCAGCACAGACTTCCCTGCATGAGTTCTCGCTGATGCTTGCATCGCGCTGAGGGCCGCGACTCCCTTCCACCAATTCAGACGTGCCACCCACCCCCCTGCACACTCGCCACACACATAGTCCACCAGGGGCCCCCTTGTGCCCTTTTCTTTCTAACTCCTCTGGGGGTGATACTGGTGGTGATAACTGCTCCTAGCATAATGGAAGTTCCATTTGGTATTGTCACACGTCTCTCACCTCGCTTGGGTTGCCATATTTGTGTGATGGCCCCATTGATTTCAGCCTTCCTTTTGCTGAATCTGTAAATTGTGCAATTGTGGTTATGTAGACCTATAGTGTATTGTGTTTTTCTAAACTGCTACAAGTTTATAATCTTCATTTTAAAAGTATGTATAATTTTTAAAACTCTGTATTCTGTTCTTGTAGTCTGCTGGTCAGTGAGACAGCCTTGCTGACTAGACCCCTTTAGCATGAGGCTAGCCACTTGATTCTTTAGTGGTCTGCTCTACAACTGTCCACTATCAGCAACAGAGGGCTGCCTCATGGGCTTTTTCCAGGTGCTGCTGCCCCGGGTGGGGGTGCGGCTAGAGGGAGGGGAGGGGAGGTAGGTATCTTATGTAGAGTGCTACCAAAGGGAGGGCCCTAATCATTTTTCTCCTGAGTTACAGGAAATGAGCAAACTAACAAAATAGCTATTTGCCTTTGCAGTTACATAGACCCCTGGGAGCAATTTTCAGAAGTGAGAAAGACCGCCCTCAAGTGTATGTCAACTTAAGTACATTGAATTCCTTTCAGATAGGTGGCTTCTCGCATATTCTATTCTGTTTCACTGGTTGTTGAATTTCAGGCAGAATGTCTTAGAAAATGTCCTAGAACAGGATTACAGAATCAAAAACTGCAGAGAGAGAGGAGGTCCGAGAACAGTGCAGATAGAAAGATTAGGGAAATGGAGGGGAGTGCTTTATGGTTTGGATTTGTTTTGTTTTGTTTTTCTTTTGTTTTAATAATTCTAACAGCATCTGCGTGTGGAGTGTTGTGGTGAGCCAAGACCAGGACAGAGTCATATGACAGTCAGCATCATGAGATTTGCCAGCTCCAGGAGGGGAGCAGACATGAATCAAATAGTTTGACATGTCTAGGATCATGGCAGCCCCACTCACGGTGCCTCCTCCCCACCGGCTCCTCACAGGAGAGATCAGGCTCTCAGACTAACCAGCTTCTAAGGCATGCAGGCCCAGCAAAGATGTGGCCTGTTGAGCCCTCTGCCTCTTACATCTTCTGCTGAGTGTCATGGGTCCCTGACAGCAAGTGTTCTGATCTCTCCAGAATACTTAGTAGCCCCCAGGGGCCTGACAGCTGTAATGTGTGAACCCCAATGAGTACTGCCTGAGGCTACTCTCAGCCTCTAAATAAGCTGCTCTGGGGAGCTCTTCTCCTTTTTGATGGAGAATTAGAAGAGCAGCTAACGTTGAAAACTTAACATGGACTCCAGAGCTCCATTCTTGTCAGGGCTCCAGAAGCTGATACCTTTTACCAAAGTTAGAAAAGAGCTTTATCACACGCCCTCAGCGTCCTGGTATGTGAGCAGGCTGCCAGGTCTAGGGTCCACCATCAACTGTGAATGAATCTGAGGTGGATTTCCTTTCTTGCAACCTCTGCAATATCATGATTGCCGAAACATGTTTTTCAAAACCTTTCCAGATGTTTGCTCCTGCTAATGGAAGATCGCATGCAGGTGTAGCAGGAGGCTGACATTGTGTTTGTTTTTTATGTTGCTTTTTGCCATAACGTGTGTTGATTCTCCATCCCGGGAAGAGGTCGTCATGGCTTACTTACTATTCATGACAGGTAAGCCCAGTCTCGGGTGACTTCAGGTGGCTTTCTGATTTGTACACCAACCAAGAATGATGTGGACACACTTCACTTCTGCCTAACGAAACTCATTTTAAGGACAATGCATCTTTGAGTCTTGGAAAGACCCTCAAGGGTAAAGTAGAGAATCAGTCTGCCTTTTCACAGGTAATCCCGAGGACTGGTTGGGGCAAAGAAAATTACCACCCTTCTCTTCTGTAAGAAGCAAATACCCTGACAGCTGTGAGCTCCGACTTTTTCTTACTGTATTTTAGGGAGCATTGTATGATTAGGCATTATATTTTAAAGGAAAATTAAGATAAAAAAATTTTGTGGAAATGCAATCACTGGCAAAGAGGTATAAAGAAGCAAGTACCTCCTGGAGACGGGGGAGGGGAACTTGACATGAAATCATGTCTGTGAAGATCTTCAAGCAAATGCCCTGATAATGGAAAAGAGTATATTACGTTTGATCAGAATCTTAAGTGGATAACATTTACGCAGTTTGAGTGATGGAATATTTTCCTCTCGTTTCATCTTATTTGTATGTCTTTTCCTTTGATGAATGATCAGTTACAAGGCCCCTGCCACACTCCAGAAATACATGTGCGGCTGCTTGTTTTAAAAACTCTGTGTCTCGTCACTGATTTCTCTAAAATGATCTCATTGCCTGGCAATCAGTCTTCTCTTGTCTACTTGTCCTAACACACTATGTACATGGAAATGTAAATAGGTGTGGAGGAGGACCAGAAAAATTAGTTACTATACAAAAAATGTATTGTGCATTTTGGCTTCACATGTTTAACTTTTTGAAAGAAAAAAAGTTGCATGAATGAGAAAAAAAAATCTGTATACAGTATCTGTAAAACTGTCTTAACCTGTTTCAATTTCTTGCTCAGACCCCATACCAACTAGAATTAAATCAATACCACTGGTGCATGGCCATATTCAAACACCGAAGAGTCAAGCAGCTCACACTTTGTTTTGAAACACCTTGTCCTTTCTTTCTGAGCGAACACTATCATGCTGCATTCTTTTGAAAATTTTGTCTAACCATAAGTTGCCATGACTTAACTGCTTTTCTTCTCAAGGATCAAAACCAGTTTAATTTGGGAATCTTCCCCTTTCCAAATGAAATAGAGATGCAGTACTTAACTTTCCTTGGTGTTTGTAGATACCGCCTTGTGTATTCCATTTAAAATAGTAATCTAGTTTGTAAAAGAGATGGTGACGCATGTAAATAAAGCATTAATGACACTCTATTGTACTCTAAGAAGTCATTTTGTTCTCTACTCTCCCTTATTTAAACCAGGAATTAAACCTGAGTTTATCTGGAGGGAGGTCCTTCCATGGAATTACTCACAAGTCCGGCAAAGCACAAAGCGTAGTGACCATCCCAGGATCTCCAAATGAAATCAACCTAGTAAACTTTTTGCTGGTCTACTTTTGACCATCACAGATGAATGACCAATTTAGTAAAAGCAACTTTATGGTGTTCTTCATAGAGGCTGATAGCCACTCTGATGTGCACTGAGTCATGTCACTCCAGAGGAGCTTTCATGTACAGAGGCGAGTCTAGACTCCATCTTCTCAGAGTGTCAGCACCTCTGACCTGTCAAAGTGTGGGTCTTGATGAGGTCCTCCTCCTGTGACTCCGGCAAATGGACATCACTCATGAACACTGCCCTCCTGCAGATCGAAAGTCAAACACTGCTTCAGGCTTCTGGTAGCAACAGTATAAATATTTCTGCTCTGTGTGCATTTAGGGCTCTCACATCAGGGGTAACTCCACCCTGTTGTAAAACTATTCCTAGTAACCTGGAATGTATTTTTCATTTTAATAGACATGCTGTAAAAATGATTCAGCTTATAGAAACCTTTTAGAATGGGGTTTAAGGTCCTAGGCAACATGATGTGTTTTTCTTTCAGACTAAGTAGATGAAAAAGGCTTCAATTTGGCCTGTGGAATTTATATTATTGGAGAGGCACACTTTTCCCCCTTAACCATTAATTGTCTATAAAGATAAACCTTTACCATCTTTTCATACTAAAGTCATTTGAGAAAGGTATTTCACTTGAGGTAGTTTTCCAATTTTTACTGTCTCCCAAATGATTGATGGTAGAAATCCAATACAAACTACCCTAAGACTCTGTTCTCCAAATCAGGTAATCCAACTATAAATTTAGCCTTCTGCAGGTTCTAAGTCAATCTCAAGATGGGCAGTGGGGCTGGTCCTGTGATAGGGCTGACATAGTTTAACCATGACCTAGACTCTGATCTTTAAGAGTTAACGTAATCTCCATCTGGAGAAATAAAGATCCAGGCCTTGTTGACTCTTCCTGCTTCCACTGTTGATCTTAAAAGGAAGAATTTGAGCTAGTTGATCTCTGAAACACAAATATGATTGTAAACATTTCACATTGTAAGGGTAAAACTTAAGCCCAAAAATGGTGTCTTCGGCTTGTAGCAGCTAAGTCACCTCTATCACAGCTAGAATA